TCAGATAAATAAATAAAATCTTTAAAAAAAAAAAAAGAAATCTGCTGGGCCACCTACCCAAATTGCCCCCTTCTGCCCAGGCCCCCCTGGATTCTGATGTATTTTATACAAATACTTTTGAGACTTTATTTAGTGATAGAACCTCATAAGGGGAGTATGCTACGCATCTTAGTGAAAAATCATTAAAAATCTAAAGACCATTGCACTCTGATAGAAAACTTTTTGACTTCCTTGTTCTACTCTAAATGAATTGGGCTTCCCTCCAAGCCCGTGGATTCATTAGGGTCCTCAATTTCAGTAAGAAAATGTCAGTCCAGCTTACTTCCCCACTCCGCTTCTAAGCTGGGCTACAGTTAAAGCCCTGTGAAACCTGTATCCCAGGTATTTGTGTTTTGTTTTTTGTTTTTTTTTAAAGATTTTATTTATTTATTTGAGAGAGAGAGCACATGAGGGGGGGCGGTCAGAGAAGCAGACTCCCTGCCGAGCGGGGAGCCCGATGCATTACTTGATCCAGGGACTCCAGGATCATGACCTGAGCCAAAGGCAGTCGCTCAACCAACTGAGCCACCCAGGTGCACCCCCAGGTATTTGTTAGAGAGCATAAGTTTAAATTTGCTTCTTGGTTAGAGAAATAATGTATGTGTTGACTCAAAGACATTTAGTCCATTTATTCTTCTGCATATTCTAATACGTTACCTTGGACTAGCCCAGACTGTCAGAAAGCTTAGTGACCATATCACATTGTTCCCTCATGCCCAGGAAAAAAAAAAAATTAAAGATTTATTTATTTGAGAGAGAGAGTGCAGGGGATGGGGGAGCAGAGGGAGAAGGAGAGAGAGAATCTTAAGCAGGCACCACGCCCAGTGGCTCAGTCTCATGACCCTGGGATCACAACCTGAGCTGAAACCCAGAGTCAGACACTTAACTGCCTGTGCCATCCAGGCACCCCCAGAAAATTGTTTTTATTGAAGGTTTAGTTTGCTACTGTACCGTAGGCCAAAAAGAAGAATATTGTAAGATACAAGAAATGGCCTTATGGATTTAACCCTGACTTTAGCCAAAGGGATATCCATTTTAGTGTTATAACTTTACTGTCCAACAATAGACAGTTGACTAAGTAAATTATGGCATATAAAATGATGGCATGAAATACTATACAGCCATTCAAAACAGTGTTATAAAAGAATATTTGATTATGCAGAAAATATTCGTAATGTGTAAGTGGTAAAGAATAACATATCTAACTTCAGTAAAATAATCAAACCTAGGAGCACCTGAGTGGCTCAGTCGGTTAAGCGTCTGACTCTTGATTCTGTCTCAGATAGTGATTTCAGGGTCGTGAGATCAAGCCCCGCATAGGGCTCCGTGCTCAGTGCAGAGTCTACTTGAGATTCTCTCTCCCTCTCCCCCTGCCCCTCCCACTTGTGCTCACTTTCTTTCTCTGAGATAAATAAACCTTTAAAAAATAATAATAATAATAGAGTACCTACTGAAGACCCTGTTCTGGGTGCTATATATTTTATAGTTCATTTTAAGGTTCAGGAAACTGAGGCCCGGAGATATAAAATAACTTGCCTGAGATCTAGTAAGTGGTGGGACTAGGAAATTAGCACTTTCATTTGAACCCAGAGCTGGCTTCTGAGCCCACATTCTTTACCAGTGCAATACACAACTTCAGGCAGATAGTATAATATGGTAACATTTTTTTAATGTCACATGTGAATTTGTATATAATATATACTCATTTTTTAAAAGCCAGGAAAATATACAGCAAAACGTTGATAGTGGTTATATCTTATATTTTACTTATCTCTCTTTTCCATATTGAACATGTACTATTTTATATTAAAGAAACTTAAAAGTTATTTTTAAAGTAGCTTTAAAAATAAAACTTGTTTTTCTTCTGAGACTTTTTGAGTTACAGAGTTACAATAATTAAGATAGGGTGGTATTAGCACAATAGGCAGAGAATAATTTGGTATTATTTAGTGAAGTTGGAGATAGGCATATGCGGTGACCCCAGAATTCCATCTCTAGGTCTACCCTTTACCAAAACTCATGTGTTTAAGCATGAGGATACATGTATAAGAATGATATTGTCCATCAGCAGCAGAATGGATGAATAAATTGTGTGTTTGTACAGTTAAATACTACGCAGCAACAAAAATGAGAACTACACCCGTGCACTGCAGCAGAGATGACTGTTAATGTTGAGAGAGAGAAGCAAAACACAGAAGTATATACTGTACATTACATTTCTATAAAATCACATCTTTCACGGGTGGTAACATTATAAAGAAAAGGAAATCAGTGATTAAGATTAAAAAGTCAAAGTAGCGGTTACGTATGGAGGGAAAGAAAGAACGAGACTAGACCGGGAGCGGGGGGGCACCCCTGGGTGTGCTTTGCTGCTGCTGGCAGTGGTGTTCTTCATGCCTGCCCATTCTTAGCCCAGTGCTTGCTTTGTAATTTTCCATTATGCAGTACATTCATATTCTATGCACTTTCATATTTGTGTGGTTTATCTTGACACACAAAAGGGTTTCAAAAAGTCCAGCTCAGTGAAACTTGGATTGACATTCAGGAATTGATGAAGACCTCAAGGAGAAATTATTCTCAGGATCAGGAGTAGCTGGGGGCGCCTGGGTGGCTCAGTCGTTAGGCGTCTGCCTT